CAAATTTAGCGTTTTATTATCCTGACTTAATATCCCATATACAGATAGAGTTATCACCACTACCAGACGCTAATGTAATACCATCAGGAGAGAAACATACCGAATTCACACAGCTACTATGACCATCCAATTTTGATTTTTATGATCCTGTCTTAACATCCCATAATCGAATTGACCTATCATGACTACCAGATGCTAAAGTAGTTCCATTTGATGAGAAGTGTACTGAGTGAACATTACTAGTATGACCATCTAATTTGGCTTTTTATAACGCACTCTTAACATCCCATAATCGAATTGAGTTATCCTAACTACCAGATGCTAAAGTTCCATTTGATGAGAAGCATACTGAACAGACAGGATTAGTATGACCATCTAATTTGTTTAGCTCATTTATTTTAATATTCTTCCATTTACAATTGAAAAGGAGGGCTCTATTCAGATTAACTCCACTAATATCTACATTCTCCAATACTGATCCACTAAAGTTACATCTAACAAAATTTGCGCCTATCAAAGCTGTATTCTTTATTCTGATGTCTTCAAAGCTTTGGTTAGTGAGATCTACTTTCATCTGCACTAATAAGTTTAGTGCATTTGAACCACATTATATAAATTTATCTTCTATACTTGTGAGTTTGACTAAAAATTTTAGAAAATCAGTAATCTTCAAATTTCCTGCAATCTTCTCCATTAGTATTTACTATCCAAAAGTATCATTAGAATAGTCATTTAAACCAAAAGGATGATCTAAAATATTTCTCAAGATATTAATGATCTTCTTAATATTCTTTTTAACATCATTAATTGTCACTTGCTAACTGAAAAATGATTCATATTTCTAAAGATTGAATGATAGGATGTCTTATTGTTACTCTTTTCTCTGAACTTCTATTATATCTTTCAATATAGATTTATCAATATCTTAAACTTAGTCTAGCATTTCATAGAGATCATCTTTCTTCTAGTAAACTTCACCACTTTCATCCTCTTAATTAGATCCAATCCTAGAAATAAAATTTAAACTTTTACTAAACTATTATGGATTAGATCTTCTTTATTCCTTCATTTGACTTTTCAAGTAAACCGTTAATTTCTTTCCACCAATTCTTAATCTGTTTCAACTCCATCATAAAGGAATTCTTCTAAGCATTCCCAACAATAGAGACTAATTTTTCTAAATCCGTATAGGAGGATTCTACTGGATTTTAGTTTATAAGGTTGATGTATGAGTTTTTTTCCTTATCAATCATACCATAAATATTTTTGATTGCTTCTGATAAATCTTACAAAATTTTCTTCATTATAGCTTCAGTTTTGGATAGCACAGATTTAAAAGACATTCTTTGTTTGGTGAGCTTTGTGTCTTATAATTTTTGGAGAGCTTTTTCTTGAAATTTTTTAATGGAAATGATGTCCTGATGTTCATGATCATCTAGACATTCAGCACAAAGTTTCCTTTAGTATTGGCATTTGTGCGGCGCAACACATATCGAAACGATTGTATTAATATGACGAGTGCACTACATTACTTTTTTTGAAATATTATTGAATATCTATTACTTTTATTAACTAAAAGTAGCAATGAAGAAAATATTTTAAATAAAAAAAAAATTTTATTGAAATATGATTATATTGATAAAATTAATATCCTTATAGAGTTTAAAAACAATGTGTATAGATAAGTTTCTAATAATATTGTAAATTATAGTTTCTATATATGAATTGTTTTGGAGTGATAGGGGTCATGTTATACAGTACACACAATTAGTTTAAATGATATTACAAGAATATTTTCATAGAGATAGAAATTTAATTATAAGGCAATTTATATAAATGTTTATAAATAAACTAGGTTTTGTTTATATTCTTATTATTTTGAATTTCATACTTTAACCTAATATATATTAATTCTTGTAGATTATTTATGAATCTTTTGGCATTAAATCAGCAATTAATAATTTAACTATTTACCTATAAAGAAAAAATTAATTATCTGGTTATTCTTCTTTATTCTAATACTTACAAAATCTTAAATAAATTGTAGATTTCCATTTTATACTTGCAGTAGAATCCTTAATTAATCTAGCAACTCAAAAATCAGTTAACCTTAAGAATCCAATTTTTGAAAACAAGCTCTTCTGGCTTTAAATCTCTAGGGATTATGCCATTTTAATGTAACTATTAGAGAGCTAATAAAATACAGCATACTATAAATATAAAAAAAGGAAATACTTGGTTATTCTTCAGAGAATCTGGTATTTCTACCAATATGATATCTTAAGTCTCCTTGTCTTAATAAATCTAATAGTAAGTATAAGTTTTCTCAAACTTAATCTGCATAATGATATTTACTAGAAAAGGATGTTTTAGTAAATACTTTTCATTCCTCAGAATTAACAGACCTTTTTGAGATGATTCTTAATTATACAAATAATAAGGTTAAATTTTAACATTTCAATTACTATAATTGATTCTAATAATTACCATTATCTTTTGGAGGTAATGATTCAAGTGATTTTTTTCTAGTTCAAGAATTATTAATAATTGTGGCGTGATTTGATTGTTGTTCTTTATTAGATTAAATCTAAGCCATTTAAAAAGAGAATAACAATAAATAAAATATTAAATCATTCAAAATTCATTGATTTTCAAATCTAACTTACAATACATCAACTCCACAAGAAATTAATATTAAATCTTTTGAATAATATTTTTGTGGATAAACTGAGTAACATATTATCTCAATGAAACACTACAATTTAAATGATTTTTGAAATTTTTTCATTCATTTGGAATACTTCTTTAGATAAACATACTCCAATTTATGAAGACTAAATAAATAATATCAAAATCTCTCATTCATCTTTCTATCCCTTAAGAAAAATGTATAGAAATTCAAATAGCATAAATTGATAGATGGACAAGTATGTCCAAACAAATGCAAGAGTTGTTCTTCATGCATTAAATGTTAAGATCCAGATTAATTGATGGACTTTGTACATCTCAATGTCCTTCAAATTGCAACAAATGTTCACAAAATTGAAGACTGATTTATCCAGTTTTCATCTAGTTAAACTATTGGAGAAAGTGATAGTTTAATTTATCATGAAAACTCAAATTTTAAGGTGATTCTTATTTCTAAAATATAAATCTTCTAATCAACATGAATTTTCACACTCAAAAATAATATGAAAAGATTCATCAAATTGAGTTGAGATTTAGTTAATTTCTAAGATATGATTCATATATAATAATAGTTAATTTTACATATTAATAGTAATCAGAAATAATTTTATTAATTACAACTTATAAAAAAAGAATGGTATTAATATTTAATTAATTAAATATACTAGTCTTAGATTGTTAGAATAAGAAATAAAGAAATAAAGAAATTATTGAAATAAATAATAGTAATAATAATAATAATCTCAAATTTAATTTAATACTAAAATATCAAAGAAAATTAAGTTAACATTTCCTAATCTAAAACTTCAAGAACTCTTTCTAGATAAACTACAAATATTTAATAAAAAAATAGAAATTTTATAAGTTCATCTAAAGATCTTGATAAAATAAATAATAAATAATTTCAAAATAAGAAAATTCTCCATGATTTAATGAAGATATAAAATAAAATTATTTTAATTCTCGAGAATTTTATTATAAAAATATAAGAATTTATTATTTAGTATTTATCCAGATAAAATTGATTAATAAAGATAATAATTAGAATAATTTGAACAAAAACTTAAGTGAAATACTTAGGGAGATAATTTCTAAAATTTATTAGAATAATACAAAAAAGAGAGATTATATAGTTTTAGCTAGTTTGTTTTTAATATGTATATTAATTATTGTTAATTAAAGTTTACAAAAGCTTAAGCATGAATATTTGTAAAATCTGATAAGGATTATAATAAAGATATGTATATAGATAAAGAAGAAGATTTCTTGAAATAAAATCTTCATAGAAGATAATATTCTGAAATTACAATACCAAAAGATATTAAATTAATTAAAATCATAATACAGAAATTAAATTATCAACTTAATCTTATAAATAAATATAATAACCTTTAGAAAATTCATATAAAGATATTGAAACTGAAGGATCTCAGGATAAATAAGATAATTATTTTAGATTGTTAAATATTATAAATAAAAATAAATAATAATAATAACAAGAAAATTAAAATAATAATATTTATTAATCTTAAATAACAAATTAATATGAAGAAGATGAATAAGTTTAAATTCGATATACTTAAAAGGATAGATAATAAACATAATAATTTATTTCTATTTCCAATGATGAAGTAAATCTATAATTACAGAAGATGATATAATAAAAAAATATGCAGATTTATTTACAGCACCTGATTTTATAAAATAATGTAGAGCTTCTAGTTAAACTTAAAAAACACATGAATCATTTGCTGATAGTAGAAGTCTTAATTTTTTTGTTTTTTTTTCAAAGTATGGTTTGTTAGGATATTGAAATATCTAAAAAAGGAAAATGTTTATTACTATCTTAATTAACTGCAGGTTGTTTTTAATAATTAAAGCAAGTAAAAATGTAAAATATTGATACAATGTATCTATCAGAATATTATAATTATAATAAATAGTAACCAATAATTG